ATGATTTATTATTTTTTGTTTAAAGCAATACTGAGCTTCAGAAGCTTCAACAACTTAAGGATGAAACAGGTGAATTGTCATCTGTAGATGAGAAAAGATACAGGATGCTAAAAAAGGCTGCAGAGAAGGAACTCCTAGAAGCAGCAGATGTGATCTGCTGCACCTGTGTTGGTGCAGGGGACCCAAGACTTCAAAGACTGAAGTTCCATTCCATTCTCATTGATGAGAGTATGCAAGCAACTGAACCTGAATGCATGGTTCCTGTTGTATTAGGTGCTAAGCAGGTAAGTAGTTTTTAAGTTTTGTTCAATTAAATGTTTTACAGTTTTATCAGAATGTTTCTTATGTTTTAATTTTTCTTTAGCTTATTCTGGTTGGGGATCATTGCCAGCTTGGTCCTGTTGTAATGTGCAAAAAGGCTGCAAGGGCAGGTTTATCTCAGTCCCTGTTTGAACGTCTTGTAGTACTGGGAATCAGACCTTTTAGATTGGAAGTGCAGTATCGAATGCATCCTGAACTATCTCGTTTCCCTTCCAATTTCTTCTATGAAGGGTCCCTTCAAAATGGTGTTTGTGCAGGTATGATAAGACAAGATATGGTATATTGTCAAATTCCTACTTAGGATCTGACTGTGTGCATATGATGTGTATTTACTCTTCAAAAAATAATTTTTCAATTGGCACATAAACACTTTAATACATTACATGTTTTGGAGAGTATTACTATGAATGGTAAATTGACATTTCCTCTTGTGCCCAAAGATTGCATTTAATGCAACATTTTCTTAACATTATGCTAGGGCTAATATTTAAATTTATTTTTTTTTAATGATTTAAATCAATATTTATCATTTCTAATATTTGAAAATATATTTATATTTTAAGTAACATGATCCTCAACAGTGTATTTAAATTTTTATTAAATAAAAATTACTAACTAGATATTATATTTCTTATAAACTTTTTCACATAATTGAACTATTTTGAGAAAATAAAATACATTATAATAAAATATTCAATAAAATGAGCAAACATAGGAAACAAAAATCAAGAAACAATTTGTGTTAGTGATATGCACTAATAGACTTAGATGATCCATTAGTTTTTATCCAGCATTTAATTGTCTGAAGATAAAAACTAATTTATCAGCAATACAGCCCTAACACACACGAAGCTAGTTTTGAGAAAAACACTTTTAAAGTTTGAATGGTGACAACAGTTCTAGATTTGTATTAAAAGGTTTGCTAAAGCCTCTTTAAGCTAAGTATTAATAAAAATGGAATTTTATTAACTCATTTAAAGAATAAAATTAATATTGTTAAAACTGACAAAAACAGTTGTTAATTTTACAACTTTTTAATAATATTAACCCTTTTCTTTATGTGTATACTCATAAAATTCCATTTTAGGTGGGAAGCATGCTTCCCCCTGACTTAAAAGGATGGAAAAGTGTTTAAATACCAACCATTATACCCTGTATTTTTTTGATAAAAGGACAACAATTAAGTTGAATTTAATATTTCAAAAATTGTCAACATTGTTTTTCAATGAATTCCATTGTTTTCAACAATAAGGATGGTGTTGCACAAAAAAGATGTTAAAATTTCTTTGAACGAATGCCTTTTTTTAAATCATAATAATTGTGACTAAAAGATAATGCCACAAGCTCATTCGGTAATGTGGATGCGTGAAAAATGTTTCAAGAACATGAAACTAGAAGGAAATCATTTTTTAAATCTTTTTTCACATGTGTATTTTTTTAATAAAATTACAGCAATGTAGTGATGAATTTAAAAACTTATGTTTTAATAAACTTTGTTTTGCAAAGTAATTAAGGATAAATAAATCTCTTAAGAATTTTGGTTTGAAGTAAAAACATTAGTTCAATTTAAAAAAATCTGATTTAAATAAAAAAAATCTCAGTTTTTAAAAAATCATGATTTTTTTTTCAGCTCTACATTACACCATGTACTTAATTTGTTGCCATTCCTGTGTTTACATTAAAAAGAAATAGTGATTGGTTTAATTGTGATT